ATAAAATTCGTCGTAAGTTTCTGTATTGAGTAGTTGTGTAAATTGAGGCAGTTGATGGATGACAAGAGTCACCAAAGTAACATGAATATTTGATGTATTCATAATTCCCCCTAGTAACTGCACTGGCAACTAAATGAAATGTTTTACATAAATGGTGAGAATCAACATGGTTTGTGTGGCAGCTTTGATAGGCGTATAATAGTAATATTAATTGTAATTATATTAATTGGTTTCGTCCCTTACACAATCGTCTGATCCCCTTTAATTGTTAGCGACTTAACCCGCGCGAAACAGCTTCTTTTGATAGGTACCAGTAATTTGCAAACTTGAAACTTATCAAGAGAAGGTTTGAGTATACACATGTTGAACGATATTATGTTTTAATTGTTTAGACAAATAATATGACACTGTAATCATTGTTGGTCAATCTAGCTGTTTTCATGCTAAGATCCACTTGATTGTGTGATGTGTACAATGAAGTATTCACATAGTGCAGACCTCTCGTCTTAATATAAATATGCAATTGATTTTGAAAATTTCTGCATCTCGAGTTGAAAGGAGAATGCGTACGAGAACATATATTTTCTCGTTAAGATTGTCATTTATTTGGTTACAAGTTTTTATTTCCTTGTTGATTTCTAAGGCGAAATATATTTTCCAAACTGGGATGCTTGAAGTTGATATGTGATTTTTATTTATTCACTAATATTTGTGCGTATAATTGAGTTTTGCAATTATTTTTGTCAATGACTAGGTATATAGTTGATCATGATACAAGTTAATTTGCTAGTGACATTCTAAATTTATCTAAGTGAATATAAGTGAAAATAGAAACGTATTGAACAAAGTGTTAGAACATAATTGTTATTCATTTTAAATTTTTATTTAATTTTAGCAATTGAAATAAAAGTTATGAGTAAATGTTTCAAAGAGAAGTTTTATAATATGTTATAGCCGACACTTAAATAATGGAGGTTACACTATTGTATGAAGAGTTTAATCTAGAATGAGTATCAAGGCTAGAATTCTCGTTAGGTGTAGATCATACGCATCCTTGAAGTACTCACCTATGTAAAAGTTGTCATGAGGTTGTGGCTATAAGATTGAGTTATTCCTTAAAAACTCTTATCAGAATCAAGATTAGAGATAGCAATGGGGCGGGTTCCCATCTTGCCTCGCCTTAGACAGGACGGTGGCTTGCTGCGTTTGTTTATCTATATATATATATATATATTTTCAAAATTTTGAGTTATGCTATTATTAGAGAATAAAATACAAATTCAAAATTTTAAAATCCAAAGCAAATAATGTTCTAACT